TAGCAAGAGATGTAAATAGGCTCAATAAACTCATCAAGAAAGCCGGCTCTGTGCTGGGGCTGAGCCTTGACCCGCTGGAGGTGGTGGCGGAGAGAAGATTACTGACCAAGCTCACAGCCATCATGAACAACGCCTCTCATCCGCTACATGGGACTGATATTAGACAGCGGAGCACTTTTAGCAACAGACTGCTCCAGCTACAGTGTTCAAGGGAACGCTTCCGCAGGTCCTTCCTCCCAGCAGCTGTCAGGGTGTATAACACTGCCCGAGGCTAGGCTTGTCAGCCCTTCATCTGCTCGTCTATGGGCAGCATGTTGCACTATTGTACTTTTTAGACACTCAATCTGTATATACCTATGGCATTTTGCACATATTTTATTGTTTACAGTGACTTTAGGCATATTTTGCACACAACGAACTCGATTTATTTTATTTATTTTATTTTGCATTGCTGTACTTATTTAAATTTTTAGTCTGTTCCGAGGTCTGCTTTTGCTTGTCTTGGGCTGGGCTGCCGTAACACCTCAATTTCCCTTCGGGATCAATAAAGTTTTATCTATCTACAGTATCATCTATCAGCTGCTGTGACATTCCCAGGAGTCCCCGACAGTCTCCTGCAGAAGACACTGCTCAACTAGGACACTTCGGGGATGCAATCCCAATTTTCACACACATAAACACGACTCCTTCAAAACTTTTTCGGTGATGCGAAGTAATGCGATCAAATGCCAGTAGAAATCGTGGAATGATGCAATCAGGCTGCATATACTTTCACTTTGAGACTCAAACAGCACATTATCTAATAAATGCACAATACACCAAGATTTTTTTTGAAACCTTGCACTATCTGACTTTTATTTTCCCATCAGGTCTGTAAATGCCTACAACCCCTCTCAAAGCCATTAGTGTTTTCTGCAACGGGTCCATCTCAGATTTTCTGCTGAAGAGTTGGAATTTCGATGACTTCCGGACAGAAGCCTTTAAAAGTGGCATTATGCATTACAGCCTCCCCCCCTAGTTCAGCTGAAGATGGAGAGCATTTTCAGTTCCCAATAAACAACCAGAAACAGCATTTTAGTGCACAAGACTTTCCGACTCCCATGTAAATATTACATCTAATTGAAGCTTACTTGCATTTTGGGCTTTCAGCGTGAAACCATTTTAAAAAAACACTAAAAACACAAGGCTTATCAAAAGAGCTATTAGCAAAGTAAGACGAGATCCGCTTGGGGACAGTGGGAAATAAGTAAAGACGGTGCTTTAAGCCCAGTTAAAAGACAGTGAGGCCTGGGGGGCCTGTGTGGCTCGTCCGGGATATTAGCTCTCCGAAGACAAAGGCTCATCCCGGGGAGCGAAAGGGCCTGGAAACATGGCACTGGAACAGCGGGGTCCCCCCGGTGACAGCTGGGGACAGATTGCCCACTCCTCGCCGTCAGCCCATTAGAGTCGACTCCCACCCCCAAACCACTCTCCCCAGCGGGGGACCCCGACAGGGTCGGTCTCCAGTGTAACAGCACCCCAGTACAGCGCTCGAGGTCCTTCCCTAACGAGCCGGGCTGCAGCCCTGCCTTCTCCCCGGCCTGCCTAGCTTAGTCACCTCGGTGTCGCTGGCTGTCAGAACAAGGGCCCCCCCGCAGCACCAATCCTGAAGGCTGCCCCAGTGTTCTGGGACATGATCAGAAGCAGGTAGCTGCGTCCTAACTGTAATTCTGGTTTCATGATTATTATACATTTGTTTAATTGCCACAACAAAGAAGACCTTAAAAAATGTTCATGTGGAGAAAGCTGTTTCCTAAAAACGGCTCTTTATCAAACCACCTGTTATCATATCTCAACTACCTGAATCTTCTTTTAGGGGTCCCTGCTTGTTTCCTGATGCCTGGTGTTTATTTTGCGCTCATGTGCTGTACCTCTCTTCATCAGTGATTCATGCTTTTAAAGTTATCACTGCATTCTAATTTAGAGAAATGAATTCGACGCCGCCTGGTTTTTGGATGTCTGCTGCAAATTTTCGTCAAATTCAAAACACTGGCTGTGCCATTTTGAGACGGCATACATCTGACTACGCCCAGACAGTCTTTGCCTATTACAGAATGACATTAGCAAATGAAAGAGTGGGGCTCAGAGCGGACAGGAGATGTGGAAAACCGCTGTATGTAAGAACTGGAATGGTACAAACACGATCAGGCCATTCTGGCCATTGAGCTCATTTGGTTGGTAGAAGATTAAACAATCTGAAGATCTTATCCAGCCATTTCTTGAAGTGGGCCAAGGCTATCAGTTTTGATAACATAGTAGGACAGCCGGGGAGCCCAGCAGAATAGTTCGTGAGAAGTGTGCTTGTTATTTTCCACGTAAAAACAAGGGAGAAGCTTTATGTTCTTAGAAAACTCAAGATTGATTTTTAAGACCTTTACTTGCAAGGGGAAAATGTACTTTAAATTAACAACTGGAATTAAGCTGAATTCTTTGTATGTACAAAATTCTCTTTAATGCCTTAGAATTATTTTAATGCATACCGATATACTCCAGACAAAAGCATTAAGATCCATTTTTATGAATCAACAGCATTTTTAAAGGCAATAATCATGAGCTTTATTCAGAAGTAATTCAATATTTTAACAATGGAGAACCTAGCATTTTAGTTTAGATAATGCAGATTAAACATATTTTCCTTTTATATTATCCCCAGAGAGCTTTGTCTTGTGCTGACAGCTGGCCTTTTTGAATGAGGCTGCTGAAGTCTAAGTGGTTTACACTGCATTTATAGCTAAATGAGTGAACAGGGGCCATGAAGTGGCTTCCCTGTATTTGTTAAAGCTGACATGGTCTCACATATCTCTTTTTTCACACGTCTCCCCGCTGTCACTCAGCCAGGAGAATTCAGGAGGGGTGCCTGCTGCCCAATTATCTCTCCGAGAAACAACAAAGGGCTTTAATCGGAACCCTGTGGTTTCGCCCAGCCCAGCCCAGAGAACACGGATTTGAGCATGTCTAGGCCTACCATCCTATTCAAGCCTGGGGTTTTCCTGTGATCCCCCTCCCCCACAATACACTTCCCATCAGTCTACCCCCTGATGGGACACCAGCGGAGCTCTTCAAAAGAGAGAACAGGCAGCATTAGTTTTAGAGGGCCAGCAACAGCGCAGCACATACCGATATTTAATAAAACACTACATGTCATTAATCTTTACCTCAATTTCTAACATTCCCAGTGTGTAAAACTTTTGATGTCTCAGGAAAAATCTGAATGGACACACTTAAGACGCAGTTAATCCTTCCTCTCTGAAAAAAGCCCAGGATTTGAAGAAGAAACAATAATGTTGCACAGCTTTTACAGTCAGTCCAGGAGTCAAGAGATTATTACCCCCACTTTTTTGTTTTTAATCATTTTTAAAGATTATCCCAGCTCCTGTGACATTCATGGAAATCATTGCAGAAACAAACAATCAAAATCTACAATTTTAAAGAAGCATCACAATAAACGGACTGCATTTAGAAAAGAACAAAAAACAGGAACTTTGCACTTTTGTACATTTAATATTAACACAATGCTTTGCTTGCACACCAAACTATGTATTTATTTTAAAGCAATGTGAAGAGAAAAATTACAAACTGATCTCAGACCAGTACTGCAGCTATCTAGTCATCTGGTACACACTGCAGTCCATCCAAATTGCAGTAGGGGCTGATCAATTTGCTCCTCAGAATTTAAGACATCCTATAAACATGGCAGAGGGCCAGCATGCAGCAGTACTGATGGAAAGAAAGAGCAAAGGGTGATTTTAGACAAGTCACATCAATTACCAATTGGTCAGAACCCAAATGTAGATCTTTAACTACAAAAGCAGCTGAAAACCTTCATCACGTATCATACAGTAAACCATGAAACTGAATCGTATTATCATGCCCATCTACTGATTACACATTCCATTCCATAAACTGTAACAAATACCTCTAGATCCTGGAGAACTGTGATTATTAGCGATCTTGGCGAAATGACTAAGATCTTCCACTCTAATCCATTCTTGAAAAGACTGGATGAAAAGTAACAAAGATAAACTGCCTTCAGTGTCCTTTCAATGCAGCTAAAAGGTGGACGTTTGAGCCATTACCTTGTAATTGTAGACTGAAACTAAGTTGTTGACCCTTCTGCCTGAATGCAGTTAATTCACCCGTAAGTAATAGTGCTGGTAAACTGAATCAGTTCACCTCTTAGCAGAGGCCTGGCCTGGCGTACTGCAGCTCACCCTCAGAAGAGGTTTGTTCCGTGAAGGCCAGGCAGGAAGGCCTCGTGCATGTAGCCTATTATTGAATGATCCTTACGGACACTTTGGATCCTGTAGATGGCAGTTTGTGGCACAAAACTCCAGCTGCTGCCTCCAGAGTCCACAGTAACAAGACACAGGCCATCATCTACCTAGTGAGGCTACCACTCTATCTGTTTCTTAACAATGGACACCGCAGGGGACAATGGCAGATTTAGTTTTAAAGATTATTTTTTAGTGGTTTATGATCATTTGCCTCCAGGCTTCATAGAGACTTCCAGCCATGATGGCAAATGCTATTACTCAATGTCTTCTGTTACCTCTTTTTATACCTTAGGGAAACAGGGCACATAGGGTGGCCTCTCTACAGTTCGATAAAGAGGATTCCATTGCACTTACAGAGAGCTGAATCCAGAATCCATCCATAAGAAATTACAAGGAGCAGATCTTCTTGAACATTGTTGCTGGAGTAATAATAAATAATTAGAGATCTGAATAAATGTCTGGTATTCAACTATTTCTGGTACAGATATACTATAGCACATTTTATTTTTTTAAACAACATTGAAACCAGAACTTTGACATGTGATTCTTGGTGCATGACTACTATATACAGTACATATATTACACAGATATTTAGGACACCGTATAATACATATATATACTTGCACAAATAAATTATAATTGTATACATAATGTAGTACAAAAAACACCAACAGTTCAGTATTTATAAAGAAGCACATTTATTTTTGTCAAAATACTGACTTCAGAATCATTGCACAGACATTTCATCGATGCGGACATATAAAAGGTCCAATGAAGTATTCACAGTTTATTGCAACAACCCATAGAATAAAGTAAGAGCTCCAGGACCTATATGAACTTGAAGAGACAGCTGTTTTCCCAGCATCATTTTAAAAGGTTCCCCTCCACCATCTAAGTTAACCAAACACTCCTAAAATTGCCAATTACAGCACCTGCTTCTGTTTTCATGATCACAGGCGGCAATGATTAAGAAAGGAAAAGCAGAATGTTTCAGTATTGGCTCGCATGGGATGATGAAATGCCTACATGTTTGAAAACATGGACCCAAGCACAGCCAGCAATCAACTGGATTGCTTCTGTCTGGATTATTTTACCACTCTGACTCAAGCTAAGTGAAGGAAGCTTTTAGCAAGTGTTGAGGCCCTGTCCCTTCAGTGCTTGAGAGAGTGAACCTGAAGAGCTACCACAAATACAGAACATTTTATAGAGCTCAACCAGTGTGGCTTTTGTGCAAACAAGGTAGGCCCACATTTCCTAATTTATCACTGGGACTAGAGCACAGCATTCAGCTCTGAAGGTCAGGAAGGAGAAAAGCTTCTGTGAAGAGAATATCTGCCCTTTGATGTTTCATTGTGACCTGCTGTTTCCAGCACACGACTGAATCAGGAAAGACACATAATTTCAAAGGGGCTTGAACTGAACAGAACTTTAGTTATTAAAAATTAATCAATCAATGGCACAACCAGCTTCCTTGGTCGTTAAATCTCAATGTAGTTAAAATGATTTTACATCTATTTGTAAATTCATGAGTGATAACTGTGAGTTATCGTTTGAGCATTTAGCATGGAATGTTTTTAAGGAAAACAAAATGGAGCAAGCAGTGTCCCAGTTTTAAACCAATGCTAAACCATTACATTGCATAGCCATTACAACATAAGAGAGAGCACACAGCACACAGAATAAACAGTATGGTGAGGTAAGGAGATGTCCTGCTTTCAGAAAAGTCATCTCAACAGTAGCACAACTTAGAATGTCAAGACATTATATCAAGGTGTTTTTAGAAAGTTTCACAGCTGTTACAGAACACTGTTGTCAAACCATACAAGATGAACTTCCCTACTGAAAATTTCAAAGGAATATTGAATGCATAAAACAGAGACCCAGAAACTCTCCTCTGTGCGAAAGTGAACAACATTTGACTCGACTCCTTTACTAACCCATGAACATTTAGCATCTTTCTTAATGCACAGATAAAAAAAGTTCTAATACTCAAGACAAATAATGCACTTTTCAACGTAGAAGAGTCCAGAACACAGGTACCCAATAACACAGCTCCTTTGGGACTGATTTCTGTATCCTGCAACATCTAGTAAACTGAAAAGGCCAAAAAATAAATACTATCTGAGGCGGGAATTAAAAAAAAATAACATTATCAGGAATTACATTTGTTTAGCATGGAATGGGAAAAGTCACTCAATGTTTTGAGAAAATAAAAAATCTTCTAAGTGGCAGTAAAAAGCTTGTCCAAGTTTCAAACAGTGAAATAGGAGACATCTGAAGAGGTCTTAAATCACTGAAGGCAGATCAAAATAAACCAGATGTTTTTTTGTTCCAGAACTTTTCACCCTCCTCCGAGCCAAACAAAGTCTTATCGGAATTTGTTCTTTTTCTATCTGTTGCACTCAGGGCAGCTCTCTGGCGATCAAAACAAACTAATTTAATTGCAGGCACAAAACAGAGGCGTTTTCCTGCTGTAAAACTGTAATGTTATATTTCAAAGAATGCTGATCAATACCCTTTTAGTCAAGGCCCAAATGAAAGGTAAGCACCTCCGTTCCAACATCACGTCAACTGTAATTTCAGCCAACAGATCAATGACTGGTGTCTTCTTTTGACAGCGCTAGAAAGGAAGCTGAAGTGCATCTGAAATGAAAGGTGAGGATTAGAGAGCACATACAAAATTAAAAAATAACCCAACATTGCTAAAAGCTTGAAAGAACAACCAAGGGAATGTTTGATACCCTCTCTTTACCAAATGTATCTTATACTATTCAGCTGTGTGTGGAATCTGCACCCTTTAAATCAGAACATTTACTAAATAAAAGTGTGCAATTCAGCTTCTACCTCTGAAAACGACCGAATGGCTCAGAAAACCCAGTGTGCAAGCATGTGGACAAATGTGTAAAATCTCAAAACATTAGCCTTCAGCAAAGAAGACACAAGAAAAGCCTAACTTCGTAAACTGTACTGCACATTTCTTCACATCAAGCCAGTGAGAGCCTATAACTGGCTGAGCACGCTAGCTACAGTTTTATAAGCAGCCTCAGGTCATCATATCAAGCGGGTTGTTTTCATGTGGCAAGACTGCGCCACCAGTGCCTATTTCATCCTGCCTGAACACATCTAGAAGCAGGGTGCAAATATACAGCCTGATCACAGCTGAGAAGGGATAGCAAGCCACAGTATTAACACCTAGGATGGGGCTGGTGTGATCACGAGTGATGGAAACTCATTTTAATTGAACAAGGAGAGTGCAATTTCATGTGCAGGCTGAAAGGCATCCCAGAGATATTTTAATAGACAGCAGTACACAATCTTATGTACAATAGTGCATTTGGCTTGGATTATTCAAGAAGATGTACAGAAAGCACTGTAAGATGCATCACACATAGGTGCTATGTAGTACTCAACTCTCACAAGCTAGTTTGACTGAAAGACAGAGGAGAACTTCAATTAATGCATTAATAAGCCTTCAGAAAGTGACCTTGATTACGCACAGATAAACTGAAACCCAGCATAGAGCACTGCTGTTTTTCAACTGTGGTCACTGCTGACCGAGGTGGGGTCAAGTCTACATTTTGAATTCCAATTTCTTTTTTAGATTTACAGAACTGATCAGGATAGGGAACTGCAAAGGAAAACCTGGAACTGACCCCTACCCTAACTGCTAGATGTGATCAATTTCCACTTCCCAAAAAAAAGCCTCAAGAGCTCAGGACATTACCCCAACTATGTCAAAAAGCAGAGCAGCAGACAAATAATAACTTGCGAGAGGATTTCAATCACATTCAAAATTGACAGCCAGTGGAGAAGGACAATCAGATGGTGAGAGCACCAGGCAGGAATGCAATAGGACCGGCCAGACTATATTTCCGTGCCAAAAAAGAAGGGACTACGGCTTCTTACAGATGAGTTAATGCCGTCATTTACCATATATACACAAAACAAGAAAATGAATAATAATGTAAAAAGTCCATCTCAAAACGAGAAACAGTTTGAAAACCTTGCACACCTTCCAGAAATGGACTGAAGTAAGATGATAAAATACCGATGGAACTGCATTTTCCAGTCCTGGCTTGATCACTCACTTGGAGTGACATCTTGCTACTTGTCTACTGATGGCTGATTAACCATTCAACTATGTAGCTGCCTTTTAGAGCCAGAGATGGAACAGACTGGAACATCTACAAGTGTAAATTAGTGTATGAGAGGCTATCTAATTAATTGAGAAGCTGGTTCATTAACCTGCAATTCACCCTCCTGCCAGCATCAATAGCAGGCACTGCTTTTCCATTAGTGTAAAAACGTGCTCGCGGTCCTCAAGCCCATCGGCTCAGAGATATACGTCCATGGTCTGCAGGATCATCTGGCGGCAGAGCGGGCAGTTGTGCTGGTAGATGGGCTGGCGCAGGAGGATGTTGGCGCAGTCCCGGCACAGGCACAGGTGCCGGCAGGGCAGCAGCAGGACGGTCTTGACGCAATCCTGGCATATCACGCACTTCTTCCTCTCCTCGTGCTCCTTCAGCATCGTCAGCAGGCTGTCTGGGGGCGGCCCTCTGTACCCCTCAGCTGAAGGGCACCTCTGCAAGGGTCTGTCCATGCTGGAGCTGGGGGTGGCAGAGGCGGACTGGGTACTGTTCTCGGGGGGCTCGTCCCCCTGCCCGCCCGCATGTTCTGGGGGACCTAGGGCGTGCTGAATGAGGGCGGCCGTTCCGCCCACTGGAGGTCTTTCTTCCTCCATGACCCCTGGCTGCCTGACCTCCCCGGCGCCAGCCCCCACACTTCCTCCCGCTGGCGTGGCTGCCTGCGTAGCCCCTCTTCTGTGCCCGGCCCGGCTGCCCGGCCAGGTTCCTCGCTGCCAGACGTCCGCCTCCACCACAGCCTGCGCCCGCGCCAAGGCGAGCAGGTAGAGGCGCTGCAGGACCCGCTGGAGGCGGTAGAGGGCGGGCACGGTGCTGATGTAGTGGAGGGTGCGGTCCGCCCCGCGCCGGGACAGGTCGGGGTTCAGGTAGAGGGTGGTGGCCGAGACGATGCCCAGGGTGAGCACCAGGCCGTACAGGTTGAGCAGGAAGACGCTGATGAAAATATGGCTGAGGGAGCAGAGGAACTCCAGCGCCACCTGGCAGGGCGTCCACAGAAGGATGGCCGTGCCCACCAGGCTGCTGGAGAGGTAGCTGAAGAGAGTGAGGGCAAGCTCGAGGGCCTTCTGGAAGGGCCCGGACACCACCTCCCACGTGGCGGCCGCCAGGGCGAAGCAGTTCTGCGTGCCGATGAGGAGCATGTTGACGACCGTGTTGACGAAGTAGAGGACGAGGCTGAGGGCGATGCCGCAGCCGTCGCAGAGCTGGCGCAGGACCGACTGCCCCGACAGCAGGCCGCGGTGCAGCAGGTCCCTGGCCCGGAGGAGCACGTGCGAGGAGAGGTGGCCCACCATCTTGAAGCTCTCCAGGACGCCGCAGAGGGCCCGCAGGCAGCCGCCCAGCGCGTTGAGGGAGCCCTGCGCCAACCCCACGACCGCCTCCGCCGCGGACAGCAGGCCGAGCAGAATCAGGTTCCAGCAGCCCAGCAGCGCGTTGGTGATGAGCGCGGGCAGATGGTAGATGAAGGAGAACACAGCCCACAGCAGCCTCATCAAAGAGTTGACGACCCAAAAATTCAAGTCCAACATGAAGCACAGCAAGTCTATGGATCGCCCGATGAAGCAGAACACGAAGTACACCAGACCCATTTCTTGCTTGGTTGCTTTCCTGATTAGTGTGGGGTTTGGAATGTTTTACGGATATTCAGTAGCTTCCTTTTATTTTTTATCGGGATGACACAACCACACGTGCTATTTTCTCTAAATGCTACATTATGACCGTGAAAGCACTTGTGTCTGTTTTATTCCTGTGCGATTTTTCTCTCCACTTTCAACCCATAGATCTTTTGCACATTTACAGTTCCGATTCTTAAGTAGAGGTTTTGTCCGTTTACAAAAATACAAGGGAATTAAAATAAGACGGAAATCGTATACATTGCTCCTTCAAAATTCTAGTTTGAGAATTAAAGAACCTTTGGAAACGTAGACAACCGTTGAGGATTTTACTAAACGCCGATACTCTAAATCAACATCTACGCAAAATAACCCTTTGCAACGGCATTTAGTTTTATCTTAGACGGTCAATACTGACTTCCCAATCCAAACCTTCTGCACTTCATCAATCAGCAAAGCAGCTAAGAGCTGGAACGGGGCAGGAAATATCTTCAGTCTCTTCAGGGACTACGATGGTTTATCTCGAAATGAACTCTTTGCTTCTGGAGGGGGAAATAAACAACGACAGCCACGATCAAACTTTTTATGAAACTACCAAACAAAAGTTAGATTGCCCTGGCCGCGGCCATGTTGTTTTCGGTTTCTATCAGCAGAACGTTGAGCCGATCGACGAGGTGCCAAGGAGATAGCCAGGGTGAAGCAAGCGAGCGCCGATACAACAATCCTCCACGTTATCTATAGTACAAGGTGTGCAACCGCGCGTTAAATCAACGTGCTCTAAAAAACAACATGCTAGACACACTCCAAACAAAAAGGATAGCTGAAGTAAGGTGTTCATTAATCATTCATCACAGGGTTTCGCACAAACATGCATAGACGTATTCATGCCCTTTCTTTATACCACACAAGTAGTGTCCCTGTAGATGCAGGGCGATGTATAAAACATTAATCTGCGCAGTACTAGTTCAGGTATGTGTGTTGTTCATACGTCTAATGCATATACTAGGTCTTTATAGAAGAACAGTGTTCCTAAAATTATTCCTTATGCTTTATCACATCCTAATAAAGTTATAATATAATAATCATAAGCTTTTAGTACATGTGTGCGAGGTAAGGGTTAATCCCACCTGGGCTGTGATTAGTCTGTTCAAATGTAGTTTTGCGGTTTTGTTTTCCAAACCGGGGAGTGGCTGAGGCTGAGAGGCATCTCTATTGGTTCTTTCAGTCGTAAACAGGCGGGGCTTCTTTTGAGCAAGAGAATGTTTTAGCCCTGTTCCAATTTTCAAATAATAACATGACGAAGACTTGTTCTGTATGGTATTGAACGCTAGGTATAACTAAATATGTTCTGGATACCGAGCTCGTTAAAAAATAGAGAATGTGCAATCACGAAATTAATAAAACATCAGTAAGAAATAGAATCATTTGGGACTTAAAGGAATTTAATACACACATTTAAACCGGGATTAAATTAATTCAATTAATTTTACTCGAGTGCACCTTTAATAATTCAAATAGTTGATTCGCTTTAAACGAAGTATAGATTTCTTTATCCGCTTGTTGGCTGTATTGATAACGTTATATTTCGTTCAGTGTTTCTGTATTTCGTTCTCCGATTTACTGCAGTGCAGCATTCCTAAAGTACAGTTGACGCTGCTCATTCAGCTTCAATACCGTGAATTAACTTCAATGCAGTTTTTTAAACAATAACTTCTCTCATCACAACCCATGACGAATGCTGGACTGGGAACAAAGTTTCCGGTATATCATTCCCAATACTTCCCAGACAATAGCTTACAGTGTAGAGTGAAGTGATGTGTAAAGCACAGAGAAATGTGATTGAGCAGGCGTTCCCAGTCCTGATCCCGGAGATCCAGAGATTGTTTTTTCTTCCGGCCACCTCTCAGTTACAAACTGAGCCCTTATGATTAATTAATTGACTGAATTAATTAATTTAAATAGAATACATTTAAACTGGTTAACTCTTTTCAGCTCATAAACGTGTTGGAGGTTACATTTTAACTATTGCATTTCCTAAATTAAATAATATCACAAACTTCTGAGTAAGAAAAAAAAAACTTGCTAATATTCCAGTCAAGCAGCGAATTAGTTCAGGTAAGGTTTCAATGAAATAATGAAACTTTGCAGGAATGTGTGGACCACCAGGATGAGGAAAACCTGTACAGGATGAGACCCTGTAGCAGAGAGGGAAGGAAACCTAGAGAAAACTGTAGCAACAGGAATGGGTGGTAAAAATATTTATGCAAGCACAGCAGAGTTAAAGTGCAAGGTACACTTTCATGAGGGTCTTTATACAGCAAAACTATTCTAAAGCAAAGGTTTCTGGTTTTCTTCCCACCAGAGTGCTTTAATCCTAATTTGAAATCATTGTTTGCTTAATTGGATTAATTGCAGCATTTCCTTGTTCTTAGGAGGAAACTGCAATGCTGTTTTTACATTTCGGGGGTATAATGAATCGGTAATGAAACTACCAAGAACACTCTAATGTGTACAACCTCCAATTTACATCACAACAGAGACAAAGTTTCAGTACACGTGTAGCACCACACTGCCATCATTGTCTGTGATTCAGAATGAAGCAACAAAGCTTCTGGTGATGCAACAGCTGCCCTATTACATTGTAAACATGCTTTAGACCAAGTGAACATTTTAATGAAGCCACAAGGAATATGTATTTAGATACTTTTTAGTATTGTGAATAAAGAACAACCAGGTGAAATACACTCATAATAATTAACGTTGTTAGGAGACCATGTTTCTCATTTGTTTACAGCGACTAGTGAGCAGAAAGGGCCACTTTCACGTCACAATTCTCACAAACTCTCGCTCTCGCCCATCGAGATGCCAGCGATTTCTCGTCTGCCTGCGACAGCCTGGTGACCATACAGTACTTTCACAAAGTTCACGATTTTACCTTTTGCAATACCATCAAATAATTTGTTTTGTCCCCGAGATTTAATAACGAGGCTGTGACCTTAAAACCCAGCTGGATTTCGGTGGTTTTGGACCAGAGTACAGCTCCCCTGACAAAACGAGTTCATCACATCAGACACTTTCTCTACAAAAAGAGCTCGCCCGCATACTTGCTTGAAAACCAAGTAATTCCTAAAACATTTCAAAGCCTACACATGCCCATGTTTGGTCTCAGAAAAAAAATATTTGCCTCTTCCCCTGCCCTCTGAGAATATCAAGCTATTTTTGAGTTCATCCCGGGCAGTCAGAAAGTTTTTTTTTCTGTATGTTTTTTTAGACATGATGAGAACCTTTCTTTTGGGGGTAAAAGAGGCACTAAACAGTCTAGTCGCTTGCCAAGATGTGGGCTCTGCCAGTGTGAATCTGGCCGGTCTGCAGATTCTTCCATGATTGTCGATGAGCTGGCTGCCCAGACTGTGAGCGTTTGAGATGTCAGCATCTGCGGTCTCCTGGCCTCTTTACAAGTTCAGAAGTTCTAACCCACTTGCTTGGCTGTATATTATTAATTTTCTCTGTCTTTCAGCATTCCTGTAATACAGTTCTACATGGTGCAAATCTGATTAACATGTAAAATTTTATATTACAGCTCAGGGGCTAGAAGATTTTTTTCTTCTTGCATAAGGAAAGAATGTAGAGCAGGTGCTGAGCCATTATTAACTTTCACGCTGAAATATTGTTTTATTTTTGCAGCTGAGAATTCCTGTTTTTCAGTCCATTGTCAGCTTTGGCTTGATCTTGTGTATATAAAGGGAAATATATTAATATTCATTCATTTTACAATTTTACTAAATATGAATGAGAATATGAGGTATCACTGCCCAGCTCAACTACTCACACATGGACTTCCATCCATACATTTTCTAAATGCTTTATCCCCTACAGGGTTGCCAGGTTCCAGCAAGCAATGGGTGCAAAGAAAGATACACACTGGGTGGGTTCCACTGCAGGGCAGACAGACACAAACACACACTCTCAAACATTAGGGCTAATTTTCCCAGAAGCCAATTAACCCTACACGAGGAAACTGGAGCACCCAGAGGAAACCCATATGAACAATAGGAGAACATGCTCCGTGTAGATATTGAGGAATTGAGCTCATGGCCCCAGCACCACGGGGTAACAATGCTAACACCTGCTTCACAATGCCGCCCACACATGCACTAAATACATGTATTTATTTGGACAAGATACACAATCACAGGTATTTAACAACAGCACCCTTTCATCCCACACAACCTGTGCATTTAATTGATAGTGGGAACCTATCCTGCACAAAATCTAATTATAAGTTACAGAGAGGAAACAAAACCCAATCAAAGCCTATAATTAAAATTAAATATATAACTAATAAGGAAGACAAAAAATAATTTCATTCTTATGACAAAATGCTTAAGTATTTGCACATTGATCAGCACAAATAAAGATTAGCTATAGCAAAGACTTTAGATCAGGAGTGTTAACTGCAAAATGCATGAGTAAGACTTCCCTTCTAAGATTCTGTACAGCATTAGTCACCACCTTAACACCTTTCAACTACACTTGCTAGTGAAGAGATTACTCTCCAGTTTTAGTCTACAGTTCAATATTGGTTGGATTTTAGACATTTTGACCAAAAGATCACACAAAAGTGAGGGTAAATGGTCTTATATTAAAGTGACTTTGCTCTCCTCAGGCAGTGTGCTTCCCCATCCTATACATTCTGTATATGAACAGCTGTAAAGCCCTTTTGAGGAGAGACAACCCCTTACGTTTGCTGATTACTCTGTCATTGTCAGTCTCCTATAAGACATTGACACTGATGGCGGAACAACTCCTTCCTTCCACTTAATGTGTCAAAAACCAAAGACAAGATAATTTATTATAGAAAGTAATGACCAGCTGCAAAACCCACAGTCATTGAAGAGCAAGAAATTGAAACTATCAACAGTTACAAATATATTGGCACTATTGATGATTACAAACTAACCTTTGAGGAAATATACAGACGCCAAATATAAGAAGAGCCAACAGCGATTGTTCTTCTTCAGAAAACTGTTTTAATGTGTAAACTACAACATTAACTTTATTCTATAGAACTTCCATTAAAACTGTCCTAACATTCACTTCAGTAGCCTTGTATGGTAAGCTTAATGCATGCAATAAAACAGACTGAGCAGGATTCTGAAGGTAGCAAGGTGCACAACAGCTACAGCTTTCAGATATCTATGTCAAACTAATACCGGTGAAGGCCAATATAATCATTGACTGTCATGACCACGCCTTGCACAGTGAATTTGAGCTCCTTTCATCTGGCCATCAGTTATCTTTTATTCCCACAGCTATTTACCTGTAAGAAATATACTGCTGCTCTGGAATCCATCCAGCAAAGATGGATCCCTTTAGTCTTGGCCAGAACAGTCGGAGTACGGAATGCTCTTCCAGCCACATTATTGAGGCTTCCAAAAATATCATATAACTTATCTACTAACAATCAAAAGTGCTAGTTGTGGAACGGCCACGGCCTTTTGGGGAATCCTGATCCAAGTTTGAATGCAGAAATCATTGATCATGGAGCCCGGCCTGTGCCCATGCGAGTACCTTAACTGTATGAGTTCCACACTTCTTGTATTGCTGTGGTCCAATCCCATATGGAGTCTTTTTTGAGCTTGTAACCTGGGAGATGCTCTGAGGGAAAGTGGAAGTGAACTGCAGTCCATATTTAGAGGAATGATGAAGAAAAAAAATATCCTTGACCCTTTAGTGCCAAGTTAGGGGATTCTCGCAAGTGATGACAGAACAAATGTAGCTGTTGGATGCCTGGGAAGAGGATTACTGACAGAAGGAGGAAAAAGGTCATATTGCATGTGATTGTATAATACAAGAGCTACACGTATTCAAAGGCACATTAGAGATATAACAATGGTCTGTCCAATAAGAGACATGTACAAAGTTAAATAACTAGCACTAATGCTTCTTAAGTTATAAAGGACCAAATAGGATGGAAGTTCCAGAGGAGCTCATCATGACTGAGGTGAACCTACTCCCTTCCCTACTTCCTCTGATTTAATCCTGCCTCATGTTTAAACCAGAGTTTTGGAACCCTGTTGAACCTAATTATTCTGGAATTGTAATTTCCTCCAGGTGGTACAGGGCTCCTGTTGAATTACTTACCACCGAATGACAGGTGGCCAGCCACTGTGTAAATACTAGCTCATCCACAGCAGCAAGCTCAACACTGTGGTCTCAATGCCAGAGTAA